GTCAATTCATGGGTTTGCGTATCACAGTTTTCATTGTCGTGTGACGGGAAAATTGCATTGAAATTCCTGCAGTTTCCGAAAGCCATTTTGATCGCATCGTTTAGTAATAATTTATAGAACTTTGTTTTCTTATTACGTTTCTGTGACTCAAGTAAATCGCGATTTTTCTTTGGTTGTGCTTTTATAGTGATATTGGCAATTTTATGACTTTGTTCTTAGTGAACCTCTGGTTCTACTTTAATAAAAATGGCCAGATGCGGGATCAATTTATTGTCCTTTTGTTAAGGCCTAACCACTTACCATTCGACGTGGTAAATGGTAGCTAATTTGTGCACGATTGGAGGTTTTATACGATATGAGTGGCCTCACCTTATGTTTTGCTTTTCTTAACTTTCCATGAGGCACCGCAGCCTTGCATTTTCTTGGTAAATCACAATTTATTTTGATTTTACAAGGCTAATAAATATTCTTTGACTGCCTTCAATTTTAATTTCATCAATACCATAGTTTTTCATAGGCACTCTAAAATATACAAGACCTTAGCATTTCATCGAGATTTAAAATTTGCCTTTTGGTGTTCTCGATCTTTTGATGGAGTTCGTGTCGGTTCATCATGCTGTGTTAATGGTGAACGATTAAATTCGTCATCACCACTGTTGATTTCTTAAAAAAAGTACATCTTCATCGCCTTTGAAATGCATATTGAAATCACTACTTTGCTGTGGTGAAAGAATTCCGTTTATTTAATGCAGAACCTAAAGATCGTTCTTCTTAATGAGTTCAAGAAATTTTTAGTTTCCTTTTAATTGATTTGTCAAAGACACCACTATTTGCAGCTTCTTAACCCGTTATTCGGTTTTGCCTTGATCGAGTTCTGAAGCCAACCAGGACTTTGATAGTCTTTGTGCAAAGACTGTCAGAAAAAAATATCTTAAACCACCCGTGGCACATGAGTTATCCCAAGTACTCAACTCGACATTTTTTGACATTTGGATATTCCTCCCATGGAATAAAATCAACTGTCTGGTTTTTTGCGTTGTAGGCTTTTTGAGCACTACTGTCTCTACTGCAGCCAAAAGTGGAGCCTAATACCGATAGGTCTGGTGCTCGGATTCTATGTGGACGTTGTCGTCAAGCGGTGGTGGAACCAGTTCCTTCACATTCCCTGGCCCGACGAGATTGCCATGCTCCTAAGCACCTACGTCATCGACGACTCGACTAGGACCAAGCGCAAACTCAATACCGTCCTACGATACATAAATTTGTCGTATATTCTATCAATGCGCAGGATTTCTTCAAGGGTTAAGAAACGGTACCCGTTGGACCAAAATTTGGGGGCAGATGGTAAAACCATTCCTGTGTATCACATTACAGGTTTAGAGAAAAATCACCATCTTCATTAATCTTTATAGAATTCAAAACTTAATTAATTCCAGTATTGTTATTCAATTTGTCAGTTTTGACTATAAAACATTAAAATGAGATCAAATTTGTGATTAAATTATCCATTAATGTTCTCACTCATGAAGAAAGGCCATGTTTCAATTTTTACTGACGGAAAATTTTAAAATTTCCACCCTGTTTAAATCATTTGGAATTAGAATCATTTGACGAGGAAGTACGGAGGTCAGAATTAATGTTACCTGTACGTAGAACCATAGGATCCCTTCTTTTCAATAATGTGGGGCTCTGTAGCAGTGCATTTGTGTGCATAGAAGCCCGAGATGATCGTTGTTACTCCTAGACCTAAGCTCACGGATCCACTACTGGAAGAGTGTGTACGTACTTACAGTGAAGACATTTTTCCCTCTTAGGTTTTCAAACTTTCGTCCTTTTAGGTATTGCCACACCAAACGAGCTCAAACGTCTTCAGTCATCGGCACCGAAAAACAAGCAGTACTGGTATGCAATCCCGATTTTTTGGGCCAGTCACTTGGTTTCGGAGCTTCGAAGCCTCGGGATAATCATTAGTGACCACGGCGTGGAGGCTATTCTCAAAAGGTTGCAGGTCTTCAGGTCAAGCCTTGCTCGCCTTAATATTTACAACATGATTAATTTCCCACTTGGCTTTACTCAGGTAAGTGTGTAGAATTTTTCCCATCTTATTTTCCTTTTTATTACTTGGACAATAATAAATGAAGAGTGAACATGTGACTAACATCACCACGTGAAACTAACTCATGGTAGACCTATTAAATACTCCAGAGGTCCTATCAAAAATCAAACCTTTGTTTTCGGTTTAGAAGCAAAATGGCAACTTACCTGCCCACAAACGAGTTTCGCGTGATTGTGGTTCGAAATTAGCCTCTTACTTAGAAAATTGTCTACCTTATTCATGAACAAGTGCGCAAATCCATGTTGTGCCATGTCTTCCACCCACATTTATTTTGGCAGATTGCGTGTTTGCTCGTCACAGAAGTTCCTCGTTTCCACAATCGCCTAGCTTCAGAGTTTTTGTCCCCTTTTTAAGGTGGCGACACTGACAACTTACAGCTACTACATTTCTTCCATTTTCGGCTGGCAATTTCTTGACGTCAAGCAGAACTACGACCACCGCAAGGTGGACCTGTATGTTCCGGTGATAGGTATTCTCCGACTTATTTTCTATTCGGGTTGGCTTAAGGTAAATGGTTGCCCTAAATATTTATTATTTAGCGTTGATACATTGTAGCACCCACAAATAGGTTTTACAACGATTTAATTCAACATAGACCGCTGTTTCTCATTATAATATACATTTAATAGAACACATATAACGTAGACTGTCGTCACACATTCATCCTCGTGGGTTGTAGGCCGTGGAACATGTTTGCCTCTGCACCCTGGATTTACTTAAGACTAAAATGACATACAGCATCTAAAAATATTGGTGGAGATTAGTGGTGAATCCAGCTAGATCTACTTAAAAATGTACTCACTTCTGCTCCAACGACAACTTTGACCTTTTTACAAGTTACTTTTTGTTTAAGGTAGCTGAAGCACTTATCAATCCGTTCGGCGAAGACGTAGATGATTTTGAAATCGACGAGTACATTAAACGCAATCTGCAGGTTTGCAATGTTTATTTTATGAAAGCAATATGTGCTAAACTACACAGGCAAAGTAAGAAATGGAAATTTTACAACAAAGAACAGAGAGATTTGCTGATAAATTGTAGACAAGGCTTTTGACAGAATTAGTTGCTTGCAAGCTGGCCTACAACAGCAGATTTGATGGATTACTGAATATAGCACTATTATTTTCAAATCTTGCTTTACACTTTTCAATGATGCACAATATCTAAATTGTTTCGTTTAAAATACTGCATAGATTCCATTTTTAGCTATCCAGTTTCATAATTGAGAAGTTGCACGACGAAGCACCTCCACTGTGCGATGGAGTGATACTAGCGGAAGCTCCCGAGATAAGGGTGGGAACGAGGAATGAGAGGTTGCGTCATTCAGTCTGCATTCCAGTTGCCCATCGCCTTTCTGCCAAGGGAGCTAATTTATTCTTCGGAACTTATACTGATATTGTAAAGCAGATCTAAAACACGAACAAATCTTTAAGGGTGCTTTGAATTTCATTAAAATGATGCACACATTTCTTTAACAATTTGTACAAAAGCGACAGAAATTTTTGCTTTAGCGCAAGGTCATATATCTAAACTATGTTTAGCATAATTCTCTTCGTTAAAATTGCAAACAAATCTACAACCAAAATTTTTTGCACATATATTTGAAAAGAGAAAAAGGAGAATCGAATAACCCCAAAAGTTTACAGATCATCCTAGTGCAAGAGGCGTATACTCGTAAGCACAAGAAGTTAAAAATTGCGATCAAAATGGGCTTCGGAAACTGCAGGAATTTCAATGCAATTTTCCCGTCACACGACAATGAAAACTGTGATACGCAAACCCATGAATTGACAATTCCAAGCGGAGTTAAGACCCATCTCTGCTCCGTCCTTTCGCAGTAGATCAAGTGAAAAGTAATGTCAATCAAGTTAAGGTGGCTTTAATGACCCCCCCAGATGGATGCAAGCAGATTGCGTTCGACCGTCCACAATGTCATGACTACAGAAGCCCAATTAGTTTGTGTTTTGGAGTTAGTAATTTGGGCTGTCTCGTTCTTAATCCAAATTGAGGTTCGCATTATTTACACTATGCTGGCAAAACTACAAAACTCATATGTTAAATGTAGTATGTCAATCAAAGGAAATCCGGATTCCTATTATTAATACTAACCTTCTCACATCCGCTGACATTAGGTGTCGGTAGACGAGTGAGGCAAGTCCATAAATGAGCAGGAAGGCAAACAAATCGAAGAAAATACAGCGATAGATGGTTCCTTTCCACCTTTAGATAGTAAATAGACCATTGGAAGCTACCTAGTTAGCAGTTTCAGAAATGCCGTTTGAGAATTTGTGGCAATTTTCCAGGAATACTGAGTTGGCATTTTATGGAAGCCACTTATCGCCGATAGATGCAATCACGCGACGCCTGAATACACTCTTGCAGAATGCTCTTCTCTACCCAATGTGACCTAATTAACATTTAACAACAGTTGTTTAACGATGTCTCTTAGTTGAGCAAGCCTATGCAAATGAATGGCACTTTGAACCAAACGTGAATATGTAATCTGCCAACTCGCCGAGCCAGTTGTGAGGGTGTGCGCGTGGTGGTTCGGCGACGGCCCGCGCCCAAGCAGGATTTACATGAGATTGCTAAGGGGCGTAAAGTGTGTCCACCGACAGAGTCTTGATTGCTGCAGCGATGGTTTGGGGGCTCGTCCTCGGGCTGCGGCGTACTGGAGGAGCACCAGCAACGTTGTCATGGCTCTCCGTGCCCGAAACAATGCACCTGAACTCAAATACCACCTCACCTATTGCACAGGTAGGTCCGGTGACTCTCGGTACCAGGTGTGACCACATTGCTGATAGGGCGTGTTCGTGCACGCACACGCACGCACACACACACCTGGGTTTCGTGGATGCGAGGATGCAAGTCTCAAGTATATTGCTTCAGGCGTCCCCTACTTATGGACCGCTTTCACATCAACTATCGTTGGTTTAAAAAAAACGATTTACCAAAAAGCCCAAGTGAGTTATTGAGCACGCGTAATAATTGTGAACTGATTTTGAGAAAATGAAGAAATGGCCTATCCTTAGTCACTAAAAGCTGTTGTGTCGCTTAACGGTTTGCTGTCACATTACCTCTTACTGTCGCTTTTTATTAGCTCCGGCCATGCCAAATAATCGTCCCTTTCTGGTTGCAATTGGTCAAGCACGCTCCTCGTCGTCGACCATCTTGACTTGTGCACTTTAGCTCCCCGTAATCAAAACAGAATTAATTAAACCAGCTAACATCCACAATAGTGTTTCGTAGATTAGGCTGCATTACGACTGCAATTTTAATGGATATGATCTGCTTAAAATGTATAGTGCTAGATGCGCGTGATCTGTACACTAGCGGTAGATTTGTCACTGTGGCAGAAATCCAATCCTCCGTGGTTACTTAAATCCAGAAGTGTCAACTGTGGAGTAGTTGAGATGCGTGAGAAGTGAAATGACACATTAGCCAAAGCGCACCAGAAATCGGAAGGGTCAAGTTCATTTTAGTGGGAAATTGCAGAAGTTAAGGACACTTGAGGACTTAACCGATCGACACTGTGAATTGCAGCAAAATGTTTTGCAGCAAATCAGCAATTAAAGTCTATGCTCACCGGAAAAGCGACCTTGATTTCCCGTCTGATCATTGGTTGTGGGGACAGCCTTCGGTCGTTAAGCCACACACAATGGAGTTAGCTGGTTGGTAGAAAATAGTGCACCCCATATGATGACATTGCATAGGGTCTGAGAAGATGAAGACATTAAAAACACGTGTAGGGCTGTAACAAAGATGGACTGAGTGCGATTTTAGGTCATCGTCATATGCATAGGCTTCACTATTCACTATTCGAAATAAGTAGTAATCAGAGGGCGCAAAGGGATTCTGATGGCTGTGGGATGCGTCACCATCAACCCAGTTCGTTTTCAAAGAATTACTTCAAGCAATGACTACTACGTTTACTGATTCACTTGGTGGATTCCAGCAGGACATGCAGGTTAATGCGATGCGCAAATGGAGTTTCTTTAAAGGGTCCGTCATGCGACACAGCACCAATAATTATACAAAAGAGTCTGTTTTAATCGAAATGCTGGTCATCGATCTGGCTTTTCTTAATTCATTTTAAGAGGATCATCTAGACCCGTTAAAACCTATGTAATATCTGTAAACTACAGTGTCCAAATAGAAATTAGGAAGGAACGTAAGTGAGGACACAGCGGTGCTTCTGAAATCGAGGTTAAACTGTCCTAAACGCTGCCGTGTCAAACGCCTAATAGACAAAAGATAATCCTTAATGCTCCAAACATAGTCGATTTGATAACAAATAATAACTTAGAGCCGTCTCCATATTGTCGTTAACGGCATCAACAGAAGGAAGCTCAACCAGTTAAAACGATTAAAGTTTTCAAGTACATCAATTTGGCTAGTTCTATTGGGATTTTTGACAATGCACAAATTGTTGTCTTGTTTAGAAATTAGGAGTTTTCCAAACTCTTAGCTTCAAGATCAATGACGCAAGAATGGGTGAAGTTATTCAAAGGATCGTCTCCCTCACTGGAGTCTATGAACCCGAGAGACGAGCCACTCAGTTTACTTATCATCAGATCCGTCTCTGTCTCTGATGTTTGGGTCGGAAAGATTTAAGCCATAAGATGGTTAACATCTTAGTTCTTGATGCCTGAAATATCGAGCGCAAAACAATTGCACAGCAGTGGGCAGAAAACAGAATGCGAGAACCCAACACATTATGGTATGAGGATGGTCCATCTCAGCCAGAATTATTAAATTCCAGCCCAATGACTATGGGTCGCTATGATTTTTTCTAAAAGCATTGCGGATTTCAGGTCACGTTTAATATTAAAATACGGGTTTTTAGTCATTGGAGACTTTAAATATTTAATTTAAAATCACGCATGTCCTGTCCTGAAATTCTATCATTATAACAATCACAAGTAGGCCCTCCGTCAAAGGATGTCTTCATGCTGATTTAGAAAAGGGGAAAATGAGTATTAGAGAGGTGTAGAATGTAGAAATTGTTCTCCTAATCTCACTTAGGCAATCAAACCCTCTTGTCTATTTTCTCGCAGCTCGTTTTAATTCTTTTCCTTTTGACGAGGACTCGAGACACCCATGCTAGAAGCGATCCTAATATTATGATGATCTCATGTCTCTTTTGCAATGAAATGGCTGGTTGGCGTTGCAAGTAGACTTGTGAATTGAAAATAAGTTCCCCAACATTTCCGAAAATAAGCACCTCTCCCTGATTTCCATTACTGGATCAATTAATGAATCTTCAAAAAGTCCTTAGATTGGGCCTCGTAAACAAAAATATTAACCTTAGGATGAAATCAGATACATTTACGAAATCATATTGCATTGTGATGTCCTTACGCGAGCCCACCATTTTAATCACTACCGCGAAAACACCTGACCCCCAATGTGATTTTCATGATCTCAACAAATTAAACATGACAAAACGTGTCAATGGTCCGTATATATTGAGTTTTTAGTTGTGCTTTAGTTGATTCGCCTGCCTCGAATCTGACCACAACTGTAGATATTTCAGCTGCAGGATTAGTTTCAATCGACGGTCTAAAACTTATGCCCGTGAGTGACATTGGCCTTGTTTTTACAGTAGAATGTGACCAAATTTATTGCCTTTGATAACAGCTTAGAAAACGTTGACGGCTTAAAAGAGTAAGCAAAAGGTTTTAAAGATAAGTTAGTCAATGTTTACGTTAGATCCGCTAGTCCAGTAGTTGTACACCTTCATTGCAACCAAATAAATCAAATAAATGGAGCTTTTGAAAACATGATAAATTTAAAAGAACTTCGACTAGATAGAAATAATTTGAAGTCGATACTTCCCGAGGATCTTCAGAACTGCCGTAACCTAAGTTACCTCGATGTCAGTTTTAACAAGTTAGCTGACCTGAACGTAAGGACCGGTTTCTTGGATAATTTGTCGTCCTAGTTTGTACAATCACTTTCTAACCTCAGGGTGTTGGTTGCATCTAATAATAACCTGCAAGATATATCATCAATTTACTTTTGCAAGAAAGTAAGCCACAAACAAAAGGTACTGAATTTAGTTATCCAAATTGTGTGTTTCTGAAAACAAAATTGTGAACATAGGGAAAGCCCTCACACCTGGCCCTTATTCTAGCGCAAACACTACCGCAAAGGAATCTGATGCATTATTGGCTGGATTGTCGAGCCTGGAGTAAGTTCTCGAATAATTTACCCAATGTATGTAGAAAAGCGAGTTATATTGATTTGGCAGGAAATGCAATCGATTCGGTCAATCAGGTTGTGTTGGCATTCCCGAATGTAAAAAACCTTAATCTCAGCAGAAACTGCATTAAAAATCCGGACGAATTGCTGGTAAACGTCTTTTTTGGTATATATATTTAGATATTTGTTTGCTTTTTGAGCCAACTTCGATTAATTGAACAGAACTAGGTGGTAGTATTTGTCGGTACTTTGGTATGAATATTTGTGTAGTATTTAAGGGTTGTCGATGCAACTTCAGTGACGACATGAACTGAACCCCGTTGGTATTGTTCTACCTAATTGACACATTTTAGATACCGTTTTACGGGACCGCAAGGCAGACAACAATAATGTTCACCAAAATCTATGTAGTGATTATTCTTTCACTAATACTTATTCCAGATGCTACAACCCCGATAGCACTCTTATGATTTTCAACCTAGAACGTATCAAGCATGAATGCTGGACATTGCGCAGTGCCATTTGGTAATGTTTGCTTCTGTTGGACGTAGAATTCAATTGTTTGGCCATTAATAATACTTGCACTACCAATAAGACTTAATTTATGAGTGTGTCAACCAGTACTACAAATAATCAAGCCACCCCTGCAATTTTGAGTGTACTGACAGCGAAACTGTCCGCGTGCGTCTGACACTGTGTTTAACGCCTGGCTTAATTTTGTTTTTTTTTGTGTGCAAGTTGCTTTCAAGTGTGTTTAATCGCAGATTCGCTTGCTTTTTGTGATTTTAGACATTTGTGGAATGTCTGGAAAACCTAGAGGTGCTCTCTGTTGATGGAAACCCGTTTGATTTTGAAAGCTCAAGAACAAGCAAGGATATGTTCAAAGAAGAGCTCAGTAAATATTTGTCGGAACCAGATGTGGTAACCAATTGCGGGTATTGATGACTTTAGACGGGTAATCGGGAGAGGCATTCTGCTAAATTGAGGAAGTCCTCCACAATCGGTGACAACAGTGAAGGTGTGTCATGTGTCTTAAACTAGCGTGCAGGGACTCCACGCTAAGCTTCGGTGTGTTACCTTGGTTTCTATTTGTAGACGTTATGCGTGAAATGGAAAGCCAATTTCTCTCGTTCGAAGCGTTAAGCGACATTTACACTGATCGTCTAACGAAGTGGTGAGCTATTGCTTCATATTGGTGCACGATGTAGGGGTCTACCCGAATGCACATGTTATATTTTATGTCAATTTTTTTGACTTACAACATGCAATTTTGACCTAGTTTGTCAACAGCTGTTTTTAGTTTTCAAGGCTAACTAAGGTCAATTATGATATGTGTGCGTTTTTAAACAAGGTGGGTGGACGGTTTTTCAACTGTCAGGAATGCCATTAGTTTGCAGTGTAACTTCCAAGTGAAACTGAGTGCATCAAATGGTTAGTCCCCAATTATAGGAGCCTGATAGTAAAGACAGACAGGTCTTAAATATCAGCATTGGACAGAACTGACTTGATCTACTTGCATTTAATGAGTATTTTCGTCGTCTGATAAACTTTTTGGCTTGGATTGGGACATTTGATTGCAACGTCCAAGACTTACGTGCATCCATTTTAGCTATAGTCGGCTTCACCAGATCCTGTCAGAATTGCCAATTGAGCCAATCCCGAGCACATTTTGCACTGACGTTTCGCCAGTAATATCCGTCGAAAAGAATTTGAAAAGTACCAGGTAAATGAGTATTAAATTGCTACCTGACCAAATTGTAAGTCATTCATCGACACAAAGCTCGACGAGAAGTCCCACTTCTTTTGTCTGCGTGTCGGCTACATGCCTGTGAGAGGTTAACGGTCAGAGAAGATTGTGGAAGTATAATTCGTTAGCGGCCTACTCCGTTTCTTCAAGGTGCAATCTTTTAAATTCTCTGAATCACTACTAACCAAAATCTACAGTTGCACAAACTCGATGCATTAAGCCAATGAGGTCAGTCAATTTAGGACGCGCATGCACCCAAAGCACATGTTCGCGGTGTGGAGGCAAATCTACTGTTGTTGTTGCCGTCTCTTCGTTCCACTATGCCGTATTTCGAGTAGTTTGCAGTACTGACTGGGATAAGCAACCAACCATCAAAGTAATTCAGACGCTTTGCTGTAGGAAGGCTGGTGACCTGCTGTTTGTCACAGCAATTGAAGCAACCAGCCTAAATCTAACCGGGATGTGGTTCAGTTCAGTTCATTGCCAATTAGTATAACGCAGTTTTGCGGTTTACCGGTGCACAGATGCAAAGTCCCGAGTGTAAATAGTCGAATCTTTTGTCTGGCATGTCAAAGATCTCTCAGCACAGGACTAATACGAAAGCGCCTACAAAGAACTCTTACTGTCACAGCCAAGAGTCGGCGTCAAGCCAAGGTCCAAGGGCAAAAGTCCCGTGCGCGTTGCGATACCACTACTTACACATGCCTGGGCGATCTTGGGTCAATGAGGTGCGAGTGATTAACACGACGTGGTGAGTCTTTTGTGTGGACATCCCTATCAGCGTGGTCAAGACTGCGTAGAAATCGTGTGAACAGAGCTATGTGAGCAGGAGACACAACTCTTGGCGTTAATTAATTAAGTTGTCTCGAGGCATGTTGACACCTCCAGCACTCAGCTCCAAAGTACCTCGAACTCGTGAAGTTGAACTTTTGGTATACGAGATCATAATGAGGTTTTGTGGCGAAGCACCAACTTGGCTCAAACCCGTTTAAAGCCTCCACCTTAAAGACATTCGTCCACTTCTCAACTTGCCCTGCTCTAAATGCCCGTGCGGTGGTACCATGAGTCGTGAAGTGAACCTTGTCAATGAAGACTCGCACCACTGCAAGTTGCTGAGGTGGGCATGTTTGTGCTTTGGCACATCATAAGTGGTCTAAACTTGTAGTTTACAACCATGCATTCACCTCGAAGGGCCGCTTCAGGGTTGAATGTAGACATTTTGAATTTGGACATGATTTGCTACGTGTTTTTCTAACTCTAGGGTACGGCTCACGAAAGCCCTGGAGTTCTCGAAAACTGCCAAACCTCACGTCAATGCCGCACCTGAAGACTCCGGTGAAGGAAGCTAACCGCCACAACAAACTTATCATGCCAGTGAGGCTGCATGTTCGGTGACTAAAATTCGCACGCAAATGGGTCAACTGTGGTGTTTGTGTGACTGTTCAGTAAATCATAGAGTTGTAGTCAGTACCTCCTCGACAGCCTGATTGTGTGATACGCCGAAATCCAACGAGTTGGGTTCTCGAAGCATTAATAGGCCCCTAAACCACAACGACCTTACACGAACCTGCACCCATAATAAAATGAAAAATGGTTTATCTTCGAGTTTCAAATCGGAGTTGTGCTGGAACCACATAACCACCTACTTTGAGGGCGCAGTTGTGTGGAGGGTTTATTTGTCGGATTCATCCATGAACGCTGATGCGTGTTTGACGGTGTTCCTTTCACATGGCATTTCCATTGCGTCTGAGTTGTGACCTAGAACTAAACGTGAATGCACTTCGTGTGATGTCAGGTGTGCGTAGGTGCGTCACAACAAGATTGGTGTCTGCTAGATTGGGCTGTCGTGGTCACCGCAGGTCATAGAATCCGCGCCTAGTGGCTCTAAACGTGGATCCGCCTAGCTTAAGGAATGCTGTTTCGGTAACACCTGGGAGTGATAGTGCTTCACTTGTACTTAGTCATATTGACAAAATCTGGCGCTTGCTGGCACTTGTGACTGAATCGATCGATTAGTACAGCTAAAGGCGGTTTCAAGTAGACAGAGGAAATTGTGCATCGAAGTAAATAGCCTAAAACATCATGGACGTCGACGAAACCGCTAACCGTTTCTTTGGTTAGCAGTATTGTTAACTACAGGCAAGTACTGGTGCACCTAGATAATTTACATATTCCCTAGTATTTTTGCTGAGTTGTTTCGCATCGCATATGCTCTTTTTATTTAGTTGCGCTCTAGTGTGGCAGATCTGTCTGAGTTGAGCCATAAGTTCGATGCCCCAGCGGCCATCTTGGCCAACTGGGCCCAGATGAAACTCTAATGCCGTTGGCTGTGACCGGCAACGCTGGCGGCTGAACATTGCATCGTGCGTGCACTGAGCCCTTGTGGTAAAAGCCTACCATAAATGCCAAAAGGTGGTGTAAAAGCTCAAAGTGTCTCAAAGACCCCACCGAATACGCTGGTTGTTTTCAGGTAGGTCTGAAGAAAGCCAGAAAGCGAGGCAGATTGGAGATGCTGTGGTTGGTTAGGTCGCCAGACTGGGTCACTTTGTTGTTGCGCGAAGCGACGGGTTAAGCCTGGTGGTGCAAGTGAACAGTTGCAGCTGCCTTGCTTAGAATCCTGTAAACATAATGACGAATATTATCTACAAACGCGTCTGGTTCGATCACATGTCTGTCACTTTGCTTCTCTAGTGTGGTTGATTGTGTCTCGTATTCTCAAAAACGCCCCTAAAGTGGAAGTATTAGGCCCTTTTCTGCCACAATGGCAGTTGGTAGATTCCTGACACGCTTCGCGCAAGGCGAAGAGCCAAGTTCGTGGTTAATAAAATGCAGGCTAAGAATATGGGTTCTTTGAAACGCTAATATTGACATGCAATTTTTTTTTTTACACGGAAATCCGGTCAAGTCAGATAATTCAGTAGCGTTGTAGGCATACGATTTTGAGCGTCATTTACAACATTTCTACCCAGCCTAACACGCCCTACTGTCCATTTGATTTATTGTGATTTATGATCTCTTTACTAGAAACGGTAATTTTTAAGAACGTGATCTCTTCGAAAACATTACTACCTATCCTATCGTAGTAATTTGGATATTTTGAAATTTACTTAGGTCACATGGGACACACCGTAAGGTATTTGTAAACCTAAAGTAATACCATCCATCTTTGCTCTCGATGGTCCTACCCATTCCTTATGCTGAATTCATTAGCTAAGCATTGAAGAATAAGGGTACGAAGTCTTGTTTTTAACTGAATAGAATTCTTCAGTTAATGTCTTTTGACAGAAAAGTTTCAATTAACCCTCGGTGTGAAAGCTGACGTCATCCTACGTGGAGCAAAACCGAACTCGCTGAGTGAGCCAAAACCCAAATCCGTACTTGCAGCAGGTAGGCAAATTATTGGACGCAGGTGTTGTCCTCAAATAAGTCTAGACCAAGGCAAACTGCTGTTGCTTCCCCAAAAGGCTTTTATTTCTTTTGGTTTAAAACTTTACCTTAATTTCAAGGCGTCACAAGACAATTACCCGGGTCAATTTATTTTAAAGCTACCTTGTTTCTGTTTTCATCTGAAAAGAAATTCGTCATAGCACAGCCTTTTACTGAAATAAGTAAACGTGGAAAATGATCACATTGTCACAGATTTTCGTCAGTAGTTTTTCGAGCAAGATAATCGATTCCGCAATGCCTTACACCCCTATGTGGTAGGATACGTGAAGTATGTAGATTTTATATAGTGGTTTTTAAATAACAATGGCGTGCAGTTGAAATACATAGAAGAAATTAGTCTCGTAACATGTACATTCTTAAATAACAAATTTGCACCACAGGTCAGATACTCTAGTCTGATAAACGTCTGAAGGATCGCTTGAGGAGGTTGAAATACCATTATCAAGGAGTCAGGTTCGTTTAGTTGAATAAACTCTGATCTACACGATAAACATGGGCAAAAATGCAAAATACCTCATCTTCTGTCCTTATCTTAGCAACACAACAACACTTAATCATTCATGCCACTTCATTGCATCAAATGATATTCTCACATTCATTGCACAAAACTGTGTGGTAAGCGTGTGTGTCTCTGGCAAATGCCTGTTGAAACCTGAGTGACTGCAAGGGCTTATTACAGGCACTTATTAAAACAGGAACAGTACCCTCGTCAGCACTCAATTTCTGTTCTCTTCAAAGGGCAAACACAAATGCACAAAGGCCAAGTTTTGCCGTAGGCTGTTTAAATACCGCACCTAGTATAATTGAGAAGATATCATCTGTCTGTGAATTGTGGGTTTTCTGACTTGGGTAAGTGCTGGTTTGTGCGTCTGTACGATTCCTAAGTCACTTAAGCGCGGTTCATTGCTTCATAAGTCGCAGTGAGATCTCGGCACAGTGCTAGGTGGATATGCGACAAATTTCCCAAAAAAAATATTCATGAACTTTTGAATTCGTTGCTTTTTGCAAATCCTTAAGGACTCGAATTCAACTTCTAACTGCTGTTTTCTGGTTACTTTCATTGACTTTCGACATAGTGCCACCGGAAAAACTAGTAAGCCGAGAAATTTCACACACAAAAAGCATATATTTATGTCAAACAAGCACTGAGCAAATTTTGAAACGTGGTAATGTGTTTTGATACGTTAATTCAGAGGTCGCTAATGTAAGTGACGAACCTGTTGGGCTGGTCGTCGTCCTGAGGAGCATTTGGTTGCGCCTGTGCTGGTGTTGCCTCTGTCACCGCACCATTCCTACAGCCTTCGCAAGCTCCACAGTGTGGTGGACTGTCTAGCTCCATGTGGCAAGTGTGCTGCGTCGATGAGGGGATCTCACTTTCATGAATTAAGATTGTCTTTTATTAAAAATTGGGTTCTGGTAGATTTTTAATCCACACTTATTTTTCCTACACTTTCTACTTTTTCGGTTACAAAATAATCTCACCTTCATTTACCTTATCTCCAACTACTTCTTTGGGCTTATTTAAAGTTCAATGCCCAAGTTTTAACTATATTAGGGAATATTGCCTCCGTGCATTTTATTTACACATCCAGAAGTTTTGTATCCTCTGGGTGCCTTTTAAAGCATCCTCAGAAAGCGCTTTTTGTAAATAGAGTTTTTATATGTTTGCGCCTTTCTTGCTCTGCTTTACATGAGAAGACGAACCAAATTAGTCACTGTTACGGCATGATATTTAGACATAAAGGTACGTTTGAATCAGCACTCAATACAGCATTATTATAATAATATCACTTAAGACATGTTAAGAATGCACTCTGTAGTACTTCTCAAAAAAAACTATATTCCAAGTCATTTTCTCTAGAAATGCCTCCAATTCACAAATTCTGTAATGGTATGCAATGCAGAAGAAGTAATGTTAAGGCGTTAAATTAGCTCTGATTGACAATCACGTTATGAAAGAGTTAATAATAGGGTTATACTACAGAAATGGTAGGTAAAGAATGAACTTACAACTCCATGTTATAGCTTACACATGCAGGGTATAGGCCAGTGGTGCTTATTTATGCGAAGCAAACGCCCCCAAGAGTACGAGGCATCTCGATTAACACAGACTAATGGGTGAAGAGCACGCCTTTTCTGTGTGATAGGATCAAAGTGCAGAGCTCTTCAGTAGTGCAACAGTTCCCTTAAGACAATGTGCTAAATCTCACACTGGGTAGACATTTCTAAAGTTACTTAGTTTTTTTAGTTTGAGGTCCTATTTGAACCACTCGATACTCATGAGCCCCTTTCACTTCGTCATCGTTAAATAACGAAAATGCTTGACGCCCTAGAAACAATTCTAGTCACTCGTGTGTCACATTGTTGCTTGCAGGCAGTGATTACTTTAATTGGTTCCTCGTTTGAAAACTACGACTTATTGGCGAGTCGCGAAGTTATCTGTGGCTAACATCAATGAATGCAGCGTTATCAGAGCGCAAAACGAAAGAAGCGAAGATGCCAAAAATTTAGAAATTTCTTTTGCTAGTATTGTCACAGTCTCCAGGAATCTCTATTAATCCAAAAGCAATAACGGAAACTTTATAGTTGCCAAAAAAATCATAAATCACTTTAGGTGGTATCACCTAAGAGAAGCACAAATTCGATTTGCGCAGTTCATAAAAAAAATCACTCAGGCCACTTTCGTTAGCAATTTTTCTTAAAGTAAATGGTGATGAAAATTATGACCTGTTGAGAAGTTTGAGACATTAATCAATGATAAGTAAATGAGAGGATTTACGAATTTACTAATGTTGGTTTAAAAAGTCGACAACTTAGTGAATTTGCAGGCAAATTCTTTCATAGTGTCGTTAAGACTTATGAAACTCCATGAAAAACCCACTTCGTGATTAAGGCAACAATA